TCACTCCCTTCCCACAATACCACTCACTTATATTACCACTTAATCGTAAAAGTGTACCTGGTAACAGCCAACTGATACAGAGACCAACTTATCATCGGTACCATTATCCAGTCTTCTGGATACAACTGCTTCATGATACCATTCAGCTGGATTCTGTATCCTTTTGATACACCCATTTTGTTTTTCTTTTTTTCATTGTAGAAGTTCAAGTACTTTGGACGGTCAAAGTTGAATTTGTATGCTGCCTCTTGCTCGGTCTTTTTGGTGGTACGTTTCAAGACTTTCCTGACAAAGTATCTGTTTTTCTCCGGTAGCCATTTGTCAGTTACGTTTTCTGTTGTGACTTCGATAGTCTCGTAGGAATTTTGTCTTCCACCAACATCTAAGTCAACTTTGTAGTTGAGTAAGTGATCATGTGTAGTGCTTGTTAAGTTATGGTGGATGGGATAACCGTATGGTTTTACATTCTCATCGTAGAAACTACCAAAGGGGTAACCAGATGCTGACACTTTCACTTCTACCGCGCCGTTCTGGTAGAAGATGAAGTCGTACATGTAGTCGTAGTTGGCAACTGTGGCAAYAGTTCGCAGGACGAGGGCCTGCAGATAAACACAGAAGGAATTAGTCTCAATACGGTTGTAATCAATATGAATGTAAGACCGCATGACACTATGAGATACATGATATAGAAATAAAGGAAAGTTATAGTGCTAGGAAGGAGGTTAYTCCGGGAGAAAGACCCTTGGAAATAAATTCGGAAAAGTTAATTTCCGGCCTCGCTGTGATTCGAATCCACGACCTTCGGATTTGTACTACCGATGCTCTACCAGCTGAGCTACAAGGTAGTCAAATTATAATTATCGTAACCTAACATCTATTTCACCCCGACCTGCTACTGTACTTGTAGCTCAGCTGGTAGAGCATCGGTAGTACAAATCCGAAGGTTGCKGGTTCGAATCTMAGCTATCAAGTCGGAAATTATTTTTTCCGATTTTATTTAATAGCCTTCTTTCTCCCGGAATAGCTTCTTTCCTAGCACTATTAATTTCCATTTTTTATTAATAATCAATCGACATTAAGAACCATACCTGRTTKAYCATTCCACCATAGAAAGTATATCCTCCTTGAAAGTCGTTATCGTAATGTCGTCTTARTGGTGATCCAGTGTTCMATTCAAACACACARACAGCATTTTTRATGACATGTGGAGTGTCGGTGTACACCATGTGGACCAAATCAAAAAACGTTGCMGTTCCTGGACAATCYGTGCCTGGAATTCAGAGGTAAGATTTAGACACCCATTCTGAAGACTTCTACTTAATGTATGTATGTAGAAATGCAGAAAAATATGCTCTGGTTCTCTACTCATCTTTCATTCTTGTCAAAGACGTTATAACTAACGTAGAGGC